CCTCTCTGCAGAGCATTTTCCACCGCAGGGTGCGTAGGAAAGCTGCCTCCATCCTCACGGACCCCACCCACCCCCAGCACGGACTGTTTTCTGTTTTCCAACCAGAAGGTTGAAGGTTCGAATCGTGGTGCTGGCAGTCCATGTGTTGAAGTGTGCTTGGGCAAGACCAGGATGTGTCTAATTTTCTAAGTCACTGATGTGCTGCTTTAAAGGCACTCGCTAATTTTATGACAGCACCAACAAATTCCAAAACATCCTCTCGACTCACCGTCGGTGTTGGGAAACTTGGATAGCTGTGCTTTTGTTAAATACACAGCATAAATGGTAAATGGTCTTGTACTTGTGCCTTTTTACACTTTTACAGCATACTCAAAGTGCTTTCCCATTATTCGGCCATTCACCCATTCGCACTCCCAAGCGCTCACGCATTCACACAGCGGTGACATCACCGGAAGTTCAGTGTCTTGCATAACTGAGTTCACATTATACCAGGCTCCTTTATTTCAAATGAAGACCCAGTCGATCATCATGTAACCTTTATGATTTACTGGATTTTGTTTAATACTGTTACACTAATAAAGTGGCATGATTTGGTCAGTGGTCAGCAGTAATGTAAAGTTATAGTGAATGGTTTGTGACCATTCTGTCTGCAAACCGTCTCTTATAAGTCCCTCAGATTTACAGAAGCTAGTGAGTGCATGTAGCATTGTGCTGATGCAGTGGTAGCAGCATTGCTCAGATCCAAATGTAAAAAAACAGACCTGTAAACTACCTTACCATCACAAATGTTACACATCACCAGAAACATGTATATGAAGAATAACAAGGGGGTTGTTAGTATTGATGGAGTAATACACAGTAGCTGGTTATTACGTTACATACAGCAGTATGTAACTTAATTCAATCTATAACATACTGCATTTGATAGTGGTAATGATTTTTATATGTTGATCATATGTTCTCTGAGTAATATCTTAATTGTTAAAGTACATAGTAACAATATACTGTATGTCCAATAAACTTAGTGGAATACGTTTGCTTCAGAAATGCAATTTAGTATAAGTAAAGTATTTTAGTGAATGTGCATGGTCATTCCCTGAGCACTGGTCTGCACAGCACCGTCATCTGCAAGCGGATTGTTAAACTGGACATATTTAAGGATTGAGGACTTACATTAGCTTTCTCCAGTGTTTTACAGAACTTAAAGGACTTAGCCTGGTCACTGAAAACTGAACAGCCCATGTTTCTGTCTCATCCCTGTGTGTGGCCCACTAACACTCATGCTGCAAACTGCCAATTAAAACACAGCTAGGGACAGTCAGAAATATGAATGGTTGAGTGTATGGACATCCGCGGGGTGATGGATGAGTCTGCATCATAGATGGCTCTCCACCCCCATACGCCAAATGTGTCTCCACACACCTCACAGCAGGCTCAAGCTCCCAGCCTCCACCCTGACTTACAGCCAGGGGCAAAGGTCAGAGGAGTGGGTGGAGCTTTGCTATCGACCCTTTCCTTCACCAGCACAGCCAGTTAATAAAGCCTGCACACACACAAGGATAAACCTCAAGCCCAGTGTTGTGAGAAGTGGAACAAAAGATAACTTAATATTTCTGTGGCAGTGGCAGAATCGGCTCTCATTAAAGTGGTTTTGAACACAGATGTAAATTTAAATCAACAACCTAGGCTAAGCTTGTTTAGCACTAACAGCTTTATTGCCCACTAGCCAACGTATAAATAATACATTTTCAGTCTCTTTTGAAAATGAAAGCTTTTACTATGGCAGGGCCAACTGGATGGCTAAGCCAGGCTAAACACATCTTACTAGACCATGACCATGTAAGATGTAAGACCATGAGGGGGGTCTTAATGACAGTCACATTATCCAGTCACACATATGATGGGCTTTTTAAAAGCTAGACTAGTGCTGGGTTAGGTAGGTAACAATTTTAATTTAAACAAAATAAAGTGAGTAGATAAGAGCTAAACAGCTACAAATTTAAAGCTTGAGACAGGCTAATGATATGAAACTTACTTCTACAAGGTTAGTTTTTTTTTTTATTTTGCCAGCTAGCCATACATTTGTGAGAAGACAGAAACTCTGTGGACATTTGGCTTCATAACCTCAGTACTTTTGAAATGCTTGCCATGGCTTTATCTGCTAAAGAGACAACTTTGAACAATCGTCTCACCCGATGTAGATGCAACAGCAAACAAGTGTATTTCCAGAAGTGTTGTTCCATGTTAACCAGAAAAGCTTTGCTTCTAGAACGCTGCTGAGCCAGTAAAGAATTCAGTGCTTTGTGCAGGAACACTTTAGTAGTATACGTCCTCACCTTGCACCACGAGTCGTCCCAGTGCAGTACGTCTCATTCTGGTGCCGGGCCGATTGGCTGCACACACATACACACCAGAGTGCTGTAGGGAACCATCTGAGATCATCAGGGTCCCCGTCCCCAGAACCTGGATACCTTCCACTCCAATAGAGCGTCCATCTGACGAACACACACACAGAAACAGGCTGTGAAATAAAAGTTAAAACATCCTGCATGTTACTGACTAATCCTCCCTCTGTCATATAAATTAGAATTTCACAGTGGTACCTAGCCTACTCCAGGAAACAATGGGCTTCGGATTTCCTGTGGCGATACACTCCAAGATGGCCGTCTGATGGACAGTGATGGTCAGATTCTGAGGTCCCGACAGGATGACCGGCTCTTTGTAGGTTCGGGGAGCTCCGCCTGCAACATTGAAGAAATATAAAAATTGAATATGGTTGAAATGAGAACATGTACAGAATCAGAATCAGTATTAGTTGGTGCTGAAGTGTCACGTCAAACTGTTTTCATTCTTTTTACTTACTTTCATGTATGTATATGATTTCTATTGCACATCACTTTGTTACGCAGCATGTTCTAAAGTTTCTGCTGAAAATATCTTAGCAAAGGTATGAGCATGCCCCACAAGACCTGAATCAGCACCTTCTGCAGGCAACGGCAGTGTTACCAAGAGACAAAATGACGCATTGTGACCAAGATTTCCGCACCGTCTCACTTGGAAGGAAGTGGTCAACCTTTTCTATAAATTGGGTTACAGTCAGTATTAACATTAATCCTAATCATAAACCTGCAGAGGTCAAGAGCTTCCGCCTAATATCGACTACTTCCTGCCGAGGCTGGCAGTCTGCCATTTTGTCTGCAGTCAGAAACTGACAAAAAGCTGTAGTCAAGCTGTAGGACAGTTTCCAGTGGCCTTCACATTCTGTACAGGAAGTACCAAAAATACCCTGTGAAGGCCTCAGTCCTGGCTTTCACCATGTGAGGGCCTAAACCACCACCAGCAATGGACTTGGTTGGGTAATTTCTTTGTTTATGTGTGTAGGTTAAGTTATAGGTGAATATTGTTTGATATCAGACGTACCCAATTGATCAATGAGCATGCATGCTTGATTAAGTTTGTATTAATATGTAAAAATTTTCTTTTGAGTTACCGTGTTTCCTGGTCCATGGATGGGGGGTGGGGGTGGTTCAGCTGAAAAGTTGGACTGAGGAAGCAGCAGGTTTAAATACATCCCACTAGGCCTGGACTGCACCAAGTGCCCAATACAAGGAAGGGGGGAGTTTGGGAGAAATGTATTGTTTATTTGTTGGTAGTTTATGTTAAAACTTTATTTGTTAAGTTATGTTAATTTCTTTACATTTAAAGGAAATATTTACTGTAGTTGTGAGCAGACTGTCTGTTTAGTGTTTATTAGTTGATTGTTTTGGTAGTGTCTTTAGTCTACCCCTTGTGTGTGTTGTTGGTTTGGCCAGCCAATATATACAGTATGTTCCCCTGCGTGTCACTTGTTAGGTCAGTTGGCTTTTGTTGAGGTATCAGACAGTTCAGTTTGCTGTATTTTGAGTTTCCTTATTTTTTTGTTGACCTCTTTGTAGGGCCCGATTTATCAGATGTTAATATTTGTATTGTTTCTTACTTTTGTGTTAATAAAAAAGCCCATTGTTTTGAACTTTGAAAGCTGTGTCTTTTTGCCTTACTGCTTGGTCCCTGACATACCCACATTCTTTTAGAGTCGAGCCCAGTTTAACAGCGTCTGTGCCGTTTTAAAAAAAGCTTCGCTCTCAGTATTTTGTAGCCCTGCTCTGAATCACAGCAGTCTAAATTTGGTATAGGAAGTTAGAGGAAATGCACTGTGTGTGTGTCACTGAGGTAGAGGAGATTCATTAGCAGTGCAGGTGAACAATTTTACATTATTCTGTGCAGTGGAAAAACCTGCAGCCAGTACAGCTACAGGCTATCAGTTCCACGGATTTACTTCAGGAGAATTAAAGCTGAAAGGACCACGTCTGAGTGTCTAAGAATAAAGTTCAAGCACTTCTTTTTAAAATGGGGATAGGCCAAAGTGGCATCAATGTCTGCTAAGCTAACCAAGACTTTTCAGTTAAAAGCCTGAGGTGAGAACTGTTTTACTGCAATAGCCTAAGTTGTAATGCCAACAAATTCTGATATAGTGCAGTAAAAATAATTACCTCTACCATGTGGGTCCACCTACCAGTGACGTTGAGCACGGCCTCATGGCTGTAGCGAGTGTTGGCTGGGTTGGTGGCGACACATCGGTAAACCCCAGAATCCACCCGCCTCACACCCATCACCTGGAGAATACCCATAGGTAGGAGAGTGTACCTGGACAGGGAAATCAGGGTGCAAGTGAGGCACTGAAAACACGACTATGCTAAACAATATTCAATTAAGATTTTTGATTACATAATAAATTTGTATATTATTACATTAGAAAGGCTATACTATGTTTTGTCTGTTGTAACCATAAAAAAAAGCTGTTGAAATATGAAAACATCCTAAACTAGCATTTAAGACATTCACTGACGCTACAGCCAGTTGGTAATTAGCAGATGTACACTGATAAACAGACGCTTTTCGGTGTACTGGCTCTGATAAGTGCAGAGGAAAACAGCTGCAAGTTATTCTAACAATAATTTTGCTTTACCCAAAATTAATACTCTTCTCAGGGCTTAGTTCACTTATTTGTTCTGACCAGTTATGAATGTACGCTCACCGGCCACTTTATGAGGTACGCCTGTACAACTGTCGGCACTTCAGTGTAACACTTCCGCCTTAACACCTGTGTTTATGAAGCTCAACATGTTTCAGTTTTTGGTGAAACTGTCATAAATGTATAAAGTCAATTATATGTTTATTTTTGAGGTCATAGTTAAAGGTGGTGTTATACTGGACTACATATTCAGAGGTGTCCCTAATATTCTGACCCTCTCATGTATGTAGCCGGGGAGGACAAAAATGTACAGACAAACATTTTGAGCTTCATAAACACAGATGTTAAGGCGGAAGTGTTGCACTGAAGCGCAGACAACTGTACAGGTGCACCTAATAAATTGGCTAACGTACATCTGATTACACATGGGTCTAATGGAAAACAGACTTTTTCTAAAATAAATGTGATGTTTTACATGTGATCTTTCCCGTTTCCTCTTAAATTCTCATTCAGTAACTTATAGGCTAAAAATGCAACCATGACTCACAAACAACAACAAAAACAGTCAGCTCTGCCAGATATAAAACAAAACAGTGTTCAAAATGTAGTATTAGTTTCCCTTCTGTGGTGTGTAGCCTTACGTGGTGCAGTGCTTTGGGCTAGATTAGAATTAATTTAGGTCTCTTGGCATTCATTTCAAAATTATGTCTAGCCTTTGTTACACTAAAAATGGAAAGACAACTTACAAGCAACAAAAGTACAGCCAGCTTTTGAGCTATAAACAAAACCAGTGTGTCCAGCCATATTTGGGTCAAATGTAAGTATTTGGAACAAACTGAACACACAGAGAGATCAGGAGTTTGAAATGCTTTGATCTCGAATTCCAAAACTGAAAAAAATAGGTGAGGCAATGTCTTTTCTTCTAGCTAGAGAGGGGAACGAATGCAGATGCTACAAACTTCCATTAGTGATACATGCTGACTGTTGAGTTTGTAGCTGGGGGCCCTGTGTACACCTGCAGGGTGTGTATGTGTGGTGCTACCTGTTGTCAGTTGTGTTGAATGGCACTCTGTCTCTCTCCCAGGTGATGTTGGCCTCAGGTACTCCGTTGATCTGACACTGGAAACGAGCGACACCTCCCTCATCCACAGACATGGACGCTGGGTGGGTGTGGAACTTAGGAAGAGCTGAGGAGCAAACCACAAAAGATCAGCCTTAATGATGAAAACACCGGACACGGGTATCATGTTGTGATGGGACAATCCGATTCTTCACATGAAGGTCAGTGTGCTAGCTGCATAATGTCCTCTGTGGCTCTGGGAGCGCTTTGTCATGTCTGACAAATAACAGCGATGTCAGTGGGGTTATCTCGGCTTGGACTTGACTACAGATTTAAAATGGAAATCTGTTCTACAGGCGTGGGAGTTGACCCCACTGGGCAGCTCTAATGGGAAATACAGGATTCAGTGTTTTTGGATCTGGACTGACACTGAGGACTAAAAGCACAGGTGTTGCCCCTTCTACTTTGACAATGTGTCTCGTATGAGTCCCTCGTCTTTATGATAAAGAAATAAATATGAGTATCCTAGAATAAATCCATATATGCATAAGTTTGGTGGAGATGATTTATAGATTTCACCTCATGCCTGGTTTTCAAACACTGCAACACTAAATCACTTTTTTCCCCTTCCTCCACTTTTCTTGGTCGGCATTTCCAACTTCACGTAAGAGGACCGCTGTGGAAAGTGATTTTCCATCAGCCTTTGTTTTCTTATAGCAGCTGTCCTTGCTACACTAATGTTGAACTGTTAAAAATAATTTTACAGACAGAAGAGTCTTCAAAAAAAAAAAAAAGAGTAGAGATTTATTTTGTCTAATCCCTGGCTCATTGGCCAATCTGTGCACACAGATTTTCACCTCCATACTTTTCTTTATCACGTGACCGCCGAGGGGCTCAGTGACGTAGAGGATGAAATGAGCAGCAGCTAACTAACAAACTAACGTTATCATGTCTGAATTAACTACTTTGATCCAAGCTGTTTTCTGTTGACCCCTTTGCGTTGTGTAGCCTTACTAGATGCAGTGTTTTGGGTTAGAGCAGAATTATTTTCATTAACTTTTCATATGTAGCCTTGTTACTGTAAATCATGTCTCCCTGTTCATACTTTACTATACATTGCCATGTCCTCCCAGGACTTCGTACGTTCATGTACACACACATGCACGCGCACACGCATGCACACATACATGTACTTCTATCTTTATGAGGACACTCATTGACATAATGCATTCCCTAGCCCCTAACCTTGACCTTAACCATCTAAACTAAATGCCTAGCCCTAACCTGAACCCTAAACCAAGTCTTAATCCTTAGAACATGAAGACCGGCCAAAATGTCCTCACTTTACACAAATGTCTCCACTCTTTAACAAACAAAAAAGCTTTTTTGGTCATCACTATCCAGTAAGTACAAGAGCGCACACACACACATTCACAGAAGATTCCTAGTAACTTGGTGGCTATAATCAATAGGTCTATAGCAGAAAGGAGGTATCTGTAACTCACTGCACTGAAATAAGGGTACCCATAATTCTCCTGGTCTACCCCCTGGTTTTATTGGTCAAAGTGAAGAGATGAATGTTTGTATAATAGATTCCAGTAGTGCAGGTGTGTGTTTGTGTGTGTCTTCGGGACATATGGCCCTATAGTAATTGGCATGCCATGTAATTTCTAGCTGCTACATTAGAGTGAAAAGTTTGTATCTTGGGGAACCCTGGATTGCCATGTATGATGCAGATGTGTTCACTATGTGAAACATCACTTATAAAAACAAAATGGAATGTTTTGACAGAGAAAAGGCAACATGAGGTGATTATCTGTTGGACATCCTCCACTCTCTGTGCAGGTAATGCATGGGTATAGTTAATAATATACCAGTGAAAATGAGTAGCAGAGCAGGGCTGGGGACCATGTACCTTTCTAAAGCACTTTAATGAATGCTTCTATTCTCCCGCTGACTCGGGACGAGACCTCCAGCCACAGCACAGAGAGGAGGCACTCACA